TAATTAACATGGATTATGTGATAGCATACTATACTAAAATGAGTCATTTTAGCATAGTATGCTATAATCTATGAGAGAAAGAGAGTCTGTGGGCCCCCCCCTGCTAACACCCCGATTAGCTAGCTAGCTAAAGCCGGCGTACTCCGTGGGATGTTTCCATCTGTTAGAATCTGGCTAAAATGACTCATTTTAGCATAGTATTTTAGCATAGTATACATAGTATGCTAACACACAACATAATCTAAGTTAATTACTGATTGTTTTACTGATTGCTAAGTTAATTACTGATTTTTAAAACTCTACTTTTACTTTATACTTTCTAAAGGGGTGGAACAAGGAAATAAAAAGAGAGAGTCTGTGGAATAGAATAAAACAATCAGTAATTAACATGGATTATGTGATAGCATACCATGCTAAAATGACTAATTTTAGCATAGTATGCTACATAATCTATGTTAATTATTGATGAATTACTATGTTAACTACTTAGGTGTGGAACAAAGAAAGAAAAAGAGAGAAAGAGACAGTCTGTGGGCACAAAAAGTAGAGTTAGTTAGACTTAGCCAAATTCTAACACATCGTAGCCCGTAGCTGCAGCTTATATGAAATATTTCTGTGTTGGTTCAAATATCAGACAGTTGGAATTAGGGTTAGGGTTTTTCCCTTCTGATCCCGATCCCGGCCTATCAGAGCCTGGACTAAAGTCTGAAGTTCTTTATCTACTTACTTAGTTGTCAGACTCATGTTGAACAGGGATTTACTCTGATAAAAACTTAATGGTTAGGACACAGACCTGTGGTTACAGATGCTAATGCTAATGCTCTGATAACTTACTGGTTAGGACACAGACCTGTGGCTACAGATGCTAATGCTAACGCTCTGATAACTTAATGGTTAGGACACAGGCCTCTGGGTTACAGATGCTAATGCTAATGCTCTGATAACAACTTAATGGTTAGGACACAGACCTGTGGTTACAGATGCTAATGCTAACGCTCTGATAACTTAATGGTT